TACCAGCATAAAAAAACCCTTTCAGAGTTAAGACTATGTTTCCCTACTAGACCCTCTGGACCAACCCCCAATCCCCATTAAAATCAGGCAAATCAAGATAATACCACAGCATACCCTACCTTCCTCATCACAAACCTTTGGGCAAATTACCCCAAGACACTACTAAAGCCATTTTTCAGATTTCACAATAGGCAGCCTTAATAACTTCACAGCACATGGCAAACATTGACGGGCACCGGCTAAAAAACTATACAGATATGACGAATTATTAATAATTTTTCAAAAATAGACCCAATACCTTTAAAACAAGCACTGCCCCAAAAAAAACTTAACAGATGCACAAGAACTGAACACCCCTGGCTAACCCCCGCATCCCGCATCCATAAATACAAAGCCCCATACGAAAAACGTACAGAAGGGGTCACAAACCAGAGACCAAACAAAACTTTTACTCGTCAAACCAAAACCCGCCTGATAAGAAGGGGGTAAAAAACTGTATTATTAGAAACGATTATCCAACTTACAAGGTGATATAAAAAAAACCTGGAAAACCCAAACAGCAATTCTGGGAACAAAAAAAGATATCACGAAATGGAAATTGAAAAACAAAACCAAAGAACCCCAAATCCCACCACTAAACAGCGAAAAACCAAAAATTTTTTTCTCCACTATAGGAAAAAGCCTTGCCAATAAAATCCCAAACTCAGATCCCCCCCCCAATGACTACCTACTGGCAACTACCCCAACACACTGTTCCTACTCCCACAACACACTGAAGTCTCCCCTTTTTACAACCACTAAAAAACAAGACAGGGGATTTAAATACCTTCCACCCTTTATATACAAAAAAGCGTCACAATACTATCACCAAAAATTGCAACACTCTTTAAAAAATCCATAAATTCCTCAAACCTTTCCCTAAAATTTTTCAAAATAGCAAGGGTCACCCCATCCATAAAGGAGGAACCAAACAGACTTGAAAAACTATGGGCCCAAATATCCAATTTAAACCACCCTCTCCCAAAATCTTCAAAAAATTTAAAATTCAAAAAGCGAATCTATTCCTACCCATCTCTCACAACAAACTAAACCCCTTTTTAAATTTTGGGGGTTCAGGCCTAATAAAAAAACTAATGATGCTATTATAAAACTGCTAAAAACACATATACTGCAATAAGAAAAAAGAAGCCCCACGGGGGGATCTTCATAGATTTGCGAAAAAGTTTTTTGGATACAGTTTGAAAAAATGTTTTTGCTCCATATAAAATTGTCGCACTTTTTAAATAAAAAGGGCACCCCCTTTCAACAAACCTAAAGCCCTTACCCCCCAAAAACAAAAAGCCAATATGTGTACACAAACGGGGCAAACTCTTTACCCCAGCAATTACGGGTTGGTGTCCCCCCGGGAAGTGTCCGGGCCCCTCTTCTTTTTCTCATAACATAAAGGGACCTCCCAAAAATGCATCGCAAACGACTCAAACCCACACTTTTTTCCAGTAACACAACAACTTCTTCCTCCCCGAAAAAAGGTCACAAAAAGCCAAAACTGAAAATTTCCCAAAATTTACAGAAAATATCTACCTTGATGAGTACTAAAAAAATTTAACTCTAAACTTTGACAAAACCTACTTCATTCATTTTGGGAAACAGGCACAGACTCCCTTTTAAACCCAAAAGATAAAGAATCACCTATCACAAAACTCACAGAGGGAAAATTCTTAGGAATCCACCTTGAAAATTGACTAAAATTTTTTCAAACACGAAATTTCAAAAAATTTTCCAAAAAAAAAAATTCCCAAGACCGTGGGCATACTATCGAAGATACGGTACTATTTTCCACAGTCACCCCCCTTGACCCTAAATCACTCACTTTTTTACCCCTATCTCCCCTTTTAGGGAATTTTGGGTGCTTTGGGCTCAAAAAAACAAAAAAACCACTCAGATCTTTTAATTTACCCAAAAAAGGGTGTATCAAATGATAAAAAAATTTCCCACTACAGAAGCACACTCCCCACCAATTTTCCAAAACAAAAAACCTACTCACCTTTCAAAACACCCAAATACAAAACCTATTTCCTCATATGTACCCCAAAATTTTTACTGGTCCATTTTAATCTGACTGAGCGAACTAAAGGGAAATTGAAAGTGGCTTAAAAGTCACCTTTAAATTTTCATGGCAATGTACGTGAAATTTGCTTTACACAAGAAGCTTTTCCCTTTAAAAGGGTTGGAGCCATGGCTAGGGCAAAAAAGTGAGCAATTATAACAATAAAGGGAAAAAAAGAAATGGGAAATTTACTTATCCCAGCAAGAGCTCCCCCCCAACAGTAACAGCACTGGTGTGGCGCCCCCGGGAAAAATTTGAAATTATGCTGGCCGAAATTAGAGCCGGATTCCCTGATGGAACCAATTACGGGAATTCCCGGGAGTAGTGACGGCCAACCTGTAAAAATACAGTGGCCCCCCCCGCTTAACGATCCCTCCAAATGCGACCAATTATTAAGTGAATTTATGAAAGGGTGCTTTTTAAAAACGAAAGTATTTGGGGGTCAAAATGGACAAAACAAACTTCAAAAAATTCCCCTTAGGGGAAAAAAATTTCGGCCCAGTACGGGCCCCTGAACATACTACGGAAATAAAAAAAAAGTTCGTTAACCGGGGGTCCACGTAATGAAAAATATGGGGGTAGTTCTGGTAGAATTTTAAAAAGCAAGGGGCTTAGAGCATTTATATATTTTACCACAGTGGTTTTCAATGTTATTAAAGAAGGCCAAAGAAATGACCAGGGGAAAGCCATGAGGATTTCCCTTTTGGGGAAATTTTTTTTAAAAAAACCGGGTTTGGTTTTCCCCTCATCTACAGGGGAAACTGAAAATAGGGGATTTCCCTTTTAAAATTTAAATTTGTAAGTGTCTTGCCTTTCCCACCACAGACAATAAAATTTTTTTCAATCCTGGGGGAAAGGGGAAACACATTTTTTCAATTTTGGGGAAATAGATCAAGCCCAAAAGGGTTGGCAATTGAAAAAATTCCCCCGATTAAAAATCCCAAGATGTTATTGTGTCCGACAAAGGGAAAGTCTGAAAGAAGCCCCGTGTGGGAAAACGTTTTCTCATTGAAGATACTCAAATTTTGCAAAATGTCCCAATTTATCAACTTTTTCGGTTCGGGAAACCCTTCATCTACATTCCTTTCTGACACATCAACAACTTGGGGGTTAAAAAAAAAAAGGGACCCAAAACCCCGTGACTGGAACATACACAAAAAAACCCGCCATTAAAGGAGGAGCTTACACGCGTTTCGGGGCCGATTTGGACCATTTACAAAAATCACAAAATAACGGAAAAGAAACAGGACGGGGAAAAATAAAGGCTGGAAGTAGTAGTAGTGGTGGTGGAAGTATTATTTTTAATTTTTAAACCCCCGGGCCCCCCAGTACTACTACAAATACTATTATTATTATTAAATGCTGCCACCGCCCACCACCACCCCCCACCCCCACCAACCCCCACCAACCACCACCCACCACCACCCACCACCCACCACCACCACCAACCACCACCACCACCCACCCCCACCAAGCACCACCCCCCCACCCCCCCCCACCACCCCCACCACCCACCACCACCCACCACCCCCCCCCACCAAACCAAACCCCCCACCCCCCACCACCAAACCCCCACCACCCCCACCACCACCACCAAACCCCCACCACCACCACCCACCCACCCAAACCCAAACCCACCCACCCACCCCACCCACCCACCCACACCACCAAACCCCCACCACCAACCCCCCCACCACCACCACCACCCCCAACCCCAACCCCCAAACCCCCACCACCACCCACCAAACCCCCAACCCCCACCCCACCACCACCACCACCCCCCCACCACCACCACCCCCCCCACCACCACCACCACCAAACCCCCCACCACCAAACCCCCCCACCACCCCCCCACCACCACCACCCCCCACCACCACCACCCACCCACCCACCCACCACCACCACCACCCACCCACCCCCCACCACCACCCCCCCCACCACCCCACCCACCCCCCCACCACCACCCACCCCCCCACCCCCCCCACCCACCCCCACCACCCACCCACCCCAACCACCCCACCCACCACCCCCCATCCCCACCACCAAACCCCACCCACCAAACCCCCCCCACCACCCCAAACCCCCACCACCCCCAACCCCCCCACCACCCACACCCACCACCCACAAAACCCCCCACCCACACCCAAACCCCCCCAACCCCCACCAAACCCAACCCCCCACCAACCCCATATATCCCGTTTCCCGCTTTTAAATTCCCCGGGTTTTGTTTCTTTGTTAAAAATTTTCCCAAGTCACCGAAATGTCCGCGTAAGCTCCCCCTCTTCTATGTGCTTGATATTTTTGTACCATCCCGGGGTTTAGTACAGGGGTTTTTTCAACTTCCCTAACCCCTTTGGGCATGACCTGCTTATACATTTTTTCCCAAAAGTGATGTCAAACCCACGGGCTGCTGCAACCTCTCCTTTTATACGTAATAAGCCACTTCTTTTCCCATGTATACAGTTATATCAAATACAAAGCCTCTGTCACAGTCACAGAGTACAAACAGTTTTATACCAAGGCGTTTCCTCTTGCTCGGTATATACTGCTTGAACGACAGTCTACCTTTGAACAAAATCAAAGACTCATCGATTACAAGATTCTTGAATGAATAAATGTACATATTGAATTTTTGTTTCAGATGTACTTAAAAACATTTTTAAACTTGTATAACCTGTCATTTCTGTCAGGCCTGGTTTTGTCAGAGAAGTGCAACATACATAACAGTAGGAAAAATCAGTTAGATGTCAAACAATATAGGTAAACTTTTTTTTTTCCTGTTTTTGTCTATGAGTTGTATTCTTATAATGACAATTGTCCATTAATCTGTACCCCTTGTTTCATATTGAACTTGAGCTTTGTTAATATTCATTCTTGTTTTTCCCCCAGCTCATCCTTATACCTGATGAATTACACACGCAGTGTCAACACCCACTACAATAAATTTCATGTAAGTGACGAAGATAATACTAACATATAATGTCATCAGTGAGTGTCAGAGGCATCTCATACATTTCCTAGAATGGTGTAGCTCATATAGACAGTGAATGCAGACGGAGGTGTCAGGTCGCCTTGTTTCCTCATTTAAACATTCTCACTTGCACCAGTTACTGGAATATTTAATGTGCACTATAAACATCTGGTGATCTGTAGTTACTTTTTAAAATAAATGTGCATGTTTGGTAACAGATGGTTGATTTCTTCGATGACATTGATGTTGGATATTTGTGCAGTAAGCAAGTATTCCAAGTGTTAAATAATTATTGCTAATACATTTCAGAAAGGTAGACACTATATAACCACTGTAGAAGAAAAACAATAAAATAATTTAGTGTGTTGTATTATATACAGATTTCTCAAAATTAATTCTGTGTGTTGTATTATATACAAATTTCTCAGAATTAATTCAGTGTTGTAAAGCAATCTTACCCAGTGACTGCAGGCAGAATATCATTTAGTAATATGCCTTAACTTCCCTTGCTCTCAAATATATGTTCACTCTCTTATCTCACTACTAGTCACATACCTGCATCACTTTACAGCACTCACGTATATTTATTTTAAACTTTCATATTTTTTCTTGAATATTACTGAAATTTGACGTATCTATCCTATAATGTGTATATGACTGTTTTTACTTTATTAAACTGTGTACTGTACTATGTAATTAATCATATTAAAATTATCAGTATTTCCTAGAGATACAGTTTTTTTAATAAGGTGATTAATTACCTGGGCAATTTATATCAGTATTTATAAATGCAAGTAATAATTTGCTTACATAATTGTTTATGTACATGACATTCTTCTGATTATTTTCAAATATAATTTGAACATAGATACTGTATATGCAGTTGTATCAGAAGTATCTCCCTTTATTACATGATATACATGATACAGACAAATATAATCATTTATCAGAGTAATATTTTATAAATTATTTGTCATAAGAGTCAACACAATAAAGAAACTTTGTTCAGTGTTCCTAAATATTAAAAACATTACCTAGAAGAATATAAATTTATTACAGTGGAGAGAAATGAATTTCACTTTCACTGTTTTGAGTGTTTATTAACAAAAATTTCCATGGACATTCTATTTAATTTACACACAAGATTAGAGACTAGATTGCACAGTGCCATTCCTACATCACAAAAATATTACTAATAATTATCTAAAATTTTTTGTGAAAAGTCATAAATAGAAACAAATACTTGAGTTATAACAAGACATCTGTTTTCTACATACCTACCTTGCAAGTGATGGCTTCTGAGATCACTACCCCTACAACCCAGTCTCTGACAGATGACTACAACATTGATAATATTAAGAAATCTAATGTAGTGGTAGAAAGTGAGTATTCAAAAGTGAAACCATATCAATGTACTGTGTGTCTTAAAGATTTTTCTCAAAACAGTAAACTAGCACGACATATGAGAACTCATACAGGAGAGAAACCCCACCAGTGTTCAGAGTGTGATAAAGCATTTTCACAAAGAAGTGTTTTAGTAATACATATGAGAACTCATACTGGAGAGAAGCCATACAAGTGTTTGGAATGTCTAAAAGACTTTAAGCAAAAAAGTAATTTAGTATCACATATGAGAACTCACACTGGAGATAAACCCCACCAGTGTTCAGTGTGTCCAAAAGCCTTTTATACAAGCCATGATTTAATAAGCCATGAGAGAATTCATACAGGAGAGAGACCATATCGGTGTCCGGAGTGTCTAAGAGACTTTACACAAAAAAGTAATCTTGTATCACATATGAAAACTCATACAGGAGACAAGCCGTATCATTGTTCAGTCTGTTTAAAAGACTTTAAAAGCAGAGACTATTTAGTACCACACATGAGAACTCATACTGGAGAGAAACCATATCAGTGTTCAGAGTGTCTTAAAGAATTTCGACATAATGCTAATCTTGTAACTCACATGAGAATTCACACAGGAGCAAAACCCTTTAAATGTTCGGTGTGTCTTAAAGAATTTCGACAAAAAGCTAATCTAGTAACGCACTTAAGAATTCATACAGGCGAGAAACCATATCAATGTCCAGTGTGTTTCAAAGGATTTGCACTAAAATCATCTCTAGTAAAACATTCAAGAGTTCATACGAGAGTGAGACCACATCTGTGCTCACTGTGTCTAAAAGATTTTACTAGCAAAGACTCTTTAGCAACACACATGGTAATTCATACAGGGGAGACCCTACATCAGTGTTCAATGTGTGTGAAAAAGTTTAAAAAACAATCCAATCTAGAAAGGCACATGAGACGTCACAACACTGTTCCAAGCATTTTAAAGAATTTCCGAAAAAATTTACTTTTGTAGTGCACTTAATTTTTAATGTGACATCACATAAAAGAAATTAATGTGCAAGAGAATTTGTATATTAGAGAATCATACTATTGATTAACGTCTATCTCAAAGACTTAGTGAACATTCTGCTGTCATTCCAGGTTCACAAATCTCTTTTTTGGATGAAAAATGTGTTATATAATTTTATTAATTTACAAAATTAATATTTTAAATAATTTGCGAATTTATTGTCACAGTGAGCTCATTTTTGTAAGTTTAGTATCTTCACATTAATTAACGCTAATGTAAGGGCAAGTTGAAAGTTTATCGTGCAGATAGTCAGTCAGAAGTATTTTTTTTTTTTATTATCACACTGGCCGATTCCCACCAAGGCAGGGAGGCCCGAAAAAGAAAAACTTTCACCATCATTCACTCCATCACTGTCTTGCCAGAAGGGTGCTTTACCCTACAGTTTTTAAACTGCAACATTAACACCCCTCCTTCAGAGTGCAGGCACTGTACCTCCCATCTCCAGGACTCAAGTCCGGCCTGCCGATTTCCCTGAACCTCTTCATAAATGTTACTTTGCTCACACTCCAACAGCACGTCAAGTATTAAAAACCATTCGTCTCCAAACATATAATGATGGGCAAGTTCTCCATATTTTCTAGACTTTTGGGACTCCCTAAAGCTGGCAGCTGCCCCTCCTTCTTCCCTGGTGTATTGGAGATAGGTATCAGCCAAGGTAGATGCACATGTATAGTCCCACACCACCTGCTTCCCATCTGTCCAGGCTTGAAGGGTGATACCATCTGGACGCTTCTGGCTGCCGTCAGATCTGCATAGTTGGGGGGCTCCCTTAGC